AAGATAGCCCTATAAGCGAATGTGAATTTTTACACATATACATACATATATAGAAATTTTATGTATATGTATATTGTATATAAAAAAATGTATTTATAGTATATATGTATTTGTATGAGTCTATGGATCGTTGCGATATTTTTATTGCGACCAATAAAAAAAAAAAAAAAAAAAAAAAAAAAGAACAGCCTGAGGTTTTCATAGATTGTGGTATTATTAAAATCATGACTCACCACTGTGAAAGTATCCCAATGATAAATCAATTTTTTGGTCGCTCAGAACTATCATTTCTGAAATGATTCAAGACGTCGTCTACCTTCCATAAATTTAAACTCAAAATCATCAATCAAATTATATAATATTGTTGTATCATTATATATAAAATGTAACAACCATAAAATTCAATTTGTAACTATATATATATATATATATATATATATATATATATATATGCAACTACCATAATAGGATTTACAAAATTTTAAACTAAAATTGCATTTAATTTGAAGTTTTTATATACAGAAAACGATTTTGGTATAACATAACCTAAAAACATTATTTTTAGTTGTTACTTAAATCGTTTACCTGAAACATAACATAAAAACATTTTTTAGTTTTTTCGCTATTCTATGTAAAATCTTTCGTTGTTTCAGGTAAATCTTTCTCTCCATGTACCAATGCAAAGCCAGTTTTGGTTCTCGTTAATTTCCCGCACTTGTATTACGAATTAATTATACGTAGGTTCAAGTTACGAAAAATTAAAATTAGGTTAAATAGTGTCACTTAAAGGTTAAAAAAAAATTTTAATTACCTACATATACGCTCTATGCATTTGATTATAGACTTACGATTAATTTTCTAAAGCTTGATCGTAATCTTTTACAAACGTTACAATAATAATAATGAGGGGATTTTCTCAAACTGAAAGGAAAAGTGTGTGGACGTATTTTTATCTTTAGAAAATTTTTGAGAATTATTATTTTTTTTTTTGTATATATTTATGATGTCGGAGGATACATAATGGGACAGGTCCTAAAAATGTCAAATGACGTCTGACTGACCAACCCTAAGATTTTTTATGACGTGTCTTTTATGACTCTTGGACATCTGTATATCTCGAGTGGCGACGCGCCGCAGATGCTTCTCCATGCTAAAGGAAAAAAAAAAAAAGACCGAATAATTTTCATGAAAATCGAAATTTTATTAGAAAATTGCTTTATTGAGCATGGAGGAAACTTTTTTTCTCTTCTTTGACATTTGGATATTATTAGAATGTATTTATGGCCGATGAAATTTTTGCAGTTGGTAGTTTATTCTATTTCTTTTCTTTTTAACGAACGAATTATTTTTCTTTACAGAACTTGTTTCTTTTATTCCTCCTATTTGTATTTAATTTTAATTCTTTTTTTATATGCTTTAATTTCTTTTTTTTTACTCATTGTCCGTTTTTTATATTTAAAAAAATTTTAATTTAACAAAATTCTCATACAATCGAATTTTATGTGATTCGAATTATTAAATAACCGAAATTACAATTCACTGAATTTTAATTTGTCCGAATATTTATTTATACAAATTTGTTATTTGTACCAATTATTTTTTTTCAAAAATTTGCGCCAAAATCATTCTTTTGATTGTTTGTTTGGGCATTTGTAATTTCGGATAAATGAAAATTCGGCATCGCAAAAATTCTATTTGTTAAAAATTCGTATGAATAAAAGTTCGGACAAATTTAAAATTCGGTCTTTTAAAAATTCGAAATGCATAAAATTCGATTGAATGGAAATTTGGCTAAATTAAAATTTCGTCAAGTAACCATTTATTTGAATTAAATAAATGTTTACATATTTGCTCCAATTTTTAAAATTCAATTAACAAATCATTTTCTAAGCGTTCGTTGTGAAATTTTCGGGTTCAATTTTTTTTTCCATCCAAAAATCATTAATCAAATGACTTTTCGAAAATGTCGAAATGAAAATTTTCCAAGAATGACGCCTGCAAAAATATTTTAAAATGTGTCTTTTTTTTGCATTTTGCTTTTATATTGCGGTGTGTGGTTCCACCAAAAAAAAAAAAAAAAAGATGGATAACTATGTGGCTTTCGGGTCCCTGTGTATATATATACAGTTCCTGCAGGTTACACAGGAATTCCCATTATTTCCCCCTTCCCCTCCCCCCTCCAAACACCCCCGCGCGCACACAACAGAAGTTTAAAGAGGCGACCGAGAAAGAGCACTACTATACCATTACCATTTCACCTGGACCTTTAAAAATTAAAGGGACGCGAACTGACTTTGGGATCGGATATACATATATACTTTTTTTTTTTTTAATGGCGTGTACCGAAGCAAAACAGAAATGGCCGGTTTTCGTGGAATCAACATCCTGTTTCCTTCAATGGTTTTTAACCCGGGGAACTACATTTTGTAGTTTCCTTTTTAGAAGAGTGTATAGTAGTTTTTTTGAAAAAAAAAAAAAAAAAAAATTTTATTCTCTAACCGACTTTTAACAACTGTAGACGTAAAATTGAAAATTCCATTTTACTGCTGTAAAGGCATGCTTCCCTCTCTTATTTTTTAATTTTATTTTCTAAGCATATGGTCTAAAGTTTAACGACCAAGAGATTATTTTTTTATTTTTTTTTTTTTATCTTTAAATGTGACATTTTTTGGAAATTCTTGTACAGATTTATATTTAAGGATTTTTATAATACAGAGACTATTTCCGGTGATTTAACTGTTTTTTTTATTTTTTTTATTATTGGTGTTTTTCAATTCAATATTAATTGTGGATCGAATTTGTTTCAAATAAGCACACAAATTTAAAAGTATCAAATTGATACAAAATTTTTATATCAATTTGATATTTTTGGTATCAATTTGATACTTTTAAATTAGTGTGAGGCTAAACTTAGAGATGAAAATCAATTTTTTCTCCTAAAATGTTTTTTTTTGAATCACACGTATTTTTTGTAGTTTTTGCCGTAGAAATATTGTTTTTTACGAAATTATAACGAATTAAATTTTTTCATTTCCGCATTCACTATTCCACTTACTTCCGGTTTCATCTTTCCACTTTTATGATTTTATTTTCACTTCCACCATTCTGTTACCATTTCATTTCCTCTTTCACTATTCCACACGGAAAGAAAATGTTTACCTAGAACAGCGATACGTTTCTCTAGAATAGCCCAAACTTTAGCTGTTTTAGAGAAACAAAATCGCTGTTCCAGTGAAACACATTCCTGTTGCAGATAAAGATTTTTTTCCGTGCACTTTTAGTTACATTTGCATCATTTCACTTTCATGTTTCCACTATCGTAATTCCATTTCCACTTTCGTGAATGTTGAACAACCAAAGTGGAAAAAATCGTGTGAAAGTGAAAGTGGAATAGTAAAAGTAAAACTAAAATAGTGATAGTAGAAAGGTGAAACTGAAATATAGTTACAGTGAAATACAGTTAATACAATCAAACCTTGTTTAGTGCAATTACCAAAAAACTATCCACGTCTCAGTTAACCAGGTTCGACTGTACGTGTCTATAAAAAAAAAATTGCAAATTACTATAAAACTTTAAATTTAATAACAAATATCGTTCAAATTTTGGTAAAATTAAATTTCGCGATTATATTTCGTTTCTCTGTTGAAAAAAAAAACAAAATAAAAAGTAAAAGTTGATGTTTGAGGACGTATGTCGCTTGTTTTCAGTAAATTTAAAATGGCACATATATATATACATATACACAGACACATAAATAAACTTGTTTTTAAATAGCCTGACTCTTTCTGAGTATACCTGACACAGAAAATTTCTGCGAAGGGTCTGAAGGGTCCTGGAAGGTGCCAGTGGAGCCCTCACGTCCCCCTCTGATGGAAATCTTGACGCCCACGTTTACATCCCTATATATGTATATATATACATTGAAAAAAATACAAATGTATACTTTTCAACCACATTCAATCTATATTGTAGTCACACATACACACACAGATATATATTTAAAAGGGCAGTGTCCAAGTTAGCCCCGTGAGGGGAAGCACTATACCCCCACTCTACCGGCCGGGCCATAAACACGGAGCTCGAGGGACGCATGCACCGCGGGGGGCCTAAGCAGTGTTCTCGGGCCTAATGAAATTTTCTATTTATGGCCCCTAATGAGTTTTTCATGAAAATTATAAAATTTTTTAATATTAACAATTTTTAATTTTTTTTAACATATTCACATTCCTCATAATTTCACGATTACGAGCATATGTTGTCCCAATTAAAAATGTTAATATTTAAAATGTTTATAATTTTTATTGAATTATGTCGCTTGAATCCCCCAGTATCGATCTAGTCATGATACCGAATAAATTTTTTAATAAAAATTAAATCTTTTCAAATATCAACATTTTTACCCCTCATTTTTTTGCGATTCAGACATAATTTTTATTTTAAATGTTGAAATTTAAAAAGTTTTAATTTTTTTTTAATCACAATTTTTCCAGGCTTAGGACTTTTTAAATTTCAACATTTAAAATAAAAATTATGTCTGAATCGCAAAAAAATGAGGGGTAAAAATGTTGATATTTGAAAAGATTTAATTTTTATTAAAAAATTTATTCGGTATCATGACTAGATCGATACTGGGGGATTCAAGCGACATAATTCAATAAAAATTATAAACATTTTAAATATTAACATTTTTAATTGGGACAACATATGCTCGTAATCGTGAAATTATGAGGAATGTGAATATGTTAAAAAAAATTAAAAATTGTTAATATTAAAAAATTTTATAATTTTCATGAAAAACTCATTAGGGGCCATAAATAGAAAATGTCATTAGGCCCGAGAACGCTGCTTAGGCCCCCCGCGGTGCATGTGTTCCTCGAGCTCCGTGTTTATGGCCCGGCCGGTAGAGTGGGGGTATAGTGCTTCCCCTCACGGGGCTAACTTGGACATCGCCCATTTAAAATACAAGGAGTCAATATAGTATACAGTGTCTCGTGTGCAGCTGGAAATACGTTATATACGTGTGATTCAAAAATAATAAAATATACCCCACACTGTGAGTGTCGAGAGTTCGATAAAATTTATTCTTTATTTTTTTCATCACCTATATATACATCCCTCCGCGCGCGTACTCTCCCCCCTCTCTCTCTCTCTCAAAAAAAAAAAAGCGATAAAACTTTCTCTAGTCAATGAAAAAAAAAATAAAGAAAAGGAAAAGATTTTCATTCAAGATCAAGATTATTCTCTTTTTTTCTCGAGTGGCCCCCGTGTGTGTAGTGATTTCCACTGACCTGATTTTTATACTGCACATCTGCCCATTCATAGAAATAAATGACGGATTTTTTTTTTTTTTTATTGAGAGAGTGAGTGAGGTTATATTAAACCGTTTATCGTTTCAATGGGATATATTATAAATAACTCAAAATTATTTACAGGAGAATCAATCGAGTTCTGTATACATATCAAGAGAAGAGGAGGAGGAGACTGCGTAAATTATCAACTGATGTCAACTTTCAATTGCGGTGGAAAAACTCGAGGTGAGTCTACTTTTATATATTTAATAAAAAAAAGAACAGTTTTTGTTAAACAGGGAAAAAAATTGTAAAGTAACTTTTACTATACTTGTAAAGTATAATCTAAATTGTCCAAAATTTCTGCACAAATTTTTGATTCAAAAATGGAAAAAACTATTTTTTAAATAGTAGGTATAAAATTTACTCCGGATAAGGTCATTTATTTATTTTATAAAAAACAGTAGTTTTTGCTATACATAAAAAAATATTAAATAACTTTTACTTTACTTACAAAGTAAAATTTAAATAGTCGGAAACTTCTGCGAAATTTATCATCAGTCGGTAATGCAGATCGCAGCATTGCCGACAGAGGATTTGAACCTCGGTCGGTAAACTATCAACGATCGGTATTACAGACTCTTTTAGTGGTTTTTTATCAACAGTCGGCATTGCAGATGTCTAGGTATATTTTACCATCGGTCGGTAATGTAGATCTCCTAGGACTTATATTTTACCATCAGTCGGTAATGCAGATCGCAGCATTGTCGACAGAGGATTTGAGCCTCGGTCGGTAAACTATCAACGATCGGTATTACAGACTCTTTTAGTGGTTTTTTTAAATCAACAGCCGGCATTGCAGATGTCTAGGTATATTTAACCATCGGTCGGTAATGTAGATTTCCTAGGAATTTGACTGGCACTTGTTTAAATTAACAAAAATAGTAGTCACACAACCGTGCCAATTCATTTACCCTCACTCTGCATTATCGACAGATGATAAAATATTCCTAAGAAATCTGAATTACCGACCGATGGTAAAAATATTCCTAAAGAAATCTGCAATACCGACTGTTGATAAAATTGCAAATTTAAATTGTTATTTAAAAACAAAACGAAAATTGTTCCTTTAAGTTAAAATATTATATTTTTAAAGTGTAAATAGGTTTTTTTTTAATTTAGAATAAAAATGTATGAGCAACAATGTATAGACAAATTGTGCATCGAAGTGTTTTGAATTACTGATGCATTTTTTTTCTGTTATCAATGCCATTTTAAGTCAGATTTGATTGTTTCTCTCTCAATATAAACGCATATATATATATATATATAGGTATATACATTACAAGCGTATATTTTAAGTGAGTATAAAAGAATTCCCTGTAATTTTATTTACATTTGCATTCTCGATACGTATGGCGCGTACCGCACAGGAAGTGTAGTATGTTCGAACGTGACCGTTGTGCGAGTTAGTAAATATATAGGTATATATATATAAATATAATACTGGAAAAATAGTGTGAGTAACTATCGTCTTATATGTCTTTTACTTAAAAAAGGAAAAAAAAAATTTATTTATATGTTGAACCCCATGTTTTTATCTGAATAAGTTATATATACTTGATAATTGAGGTTTCATCACATTTTTCAATTATTGACGCTCACAAATTTTAAATATAAACACGCGGTTTAATTTAAACGTAACAAATTGATATATTATAAAAATTTGGATCAATTTGATACTTTCACGTTATAACTGTGAATTTACTATAGAGTCGATATATCGTATATGTATATAGAACTTTAGGTATATATTTGGTTAGAAAAGCTTAACATAACCTCAAAAATAAAAATTTACTATTATTATTATTACTATTACATTAGCCAAATTTTTATTTGTTCGAATTGTTTTTTGGTAGAATTTCCATTTAATTGATTTTTCATATAACATCAATCGAGTTTTTACCTAATAACAGAAAATTCATTTTTAATTTTAAAATTCGCGCCCAAAAGTTTCTGACGGAAATTAATACTTTTGTGCGGCTAAAAAATTAAGTAAAAATTACCTATAACAGAAAATTTATTTTTAATTTTAAAATTCGCGCCCAAACTTTTCTGACGAAAATTAATACTTTTGTGCGCGGCTAAAAAATTAAGTAAAAAAAAAATTTGTACGCCTAAAATGAAATTCTGTTAAATGCTAATTTGAAAAATGAAATTCTGTTAAATGCTAATTTGAAAAATGAAAATTTGTCTTAAAAAATAATTGTTTCTAATAAAATTTTTTATAATGAAAATTCTAATTAATGATTTTTATGAGAAATTCATATATGTACGGAAAAATTAATTTACCCGAAATAGCAAAAGTTTTCACTAAAATAACAAAAGTTTTAATTGTTTTAGTTAAAATCTTTCTCTATTACAGTGAAACCTTTCGTTGTTCCAGGTGAAATTTTTTTTGTGTATGCCTCAATGAAAAATACAATAATAATATTAAAATAAAAATAATAGTAATAATAATAATATAAATATAATATTATCGATAGTCCCGTAATTCTGGAAGGTTTTTCTCAACTCGTGCAAGTTTGAACCTGTTAGTGAGGTTCGCTCCTCCACCGCCCACAATACATGTACATATATATATATATATATATACTCGTATCAAGCGAGCAAGAACGCATTATGCGATCGCCACGATTCTCGGAATTATTTGGATCTGATCTCTTGAGCTCGCGACGCGATATACCTGTATAAAACTCTCTGCGTTGTATCCGCGCTTGTATATATATACACATATCGAATTTTACCGAGAGCATCATATAATATACACACGGGTAGCGGATTTTTTTTCAATGTTCTTATAATGCTACTTTTCTTTTTATTTCCCTCTTTTTTTTTTTTTTATTTTCTCTCGAGTGTATTGTATGTGTGTGTATGTGTGGGTGCTGCGGATACTCACCGCTGATATTCAAGGACTTATTAAAACAATAAGCAGCGCAATATCGAGTTTTATCAAGTCCGTATACCTCTTTTTAACCCTGACAATACTTCCTTTTTTCAATTCTTCTTCGTGTCCTCGAATTTTTTTCTCCCACTTGGTTTATCTTTCTTTGGGAAGAAAAATCGCGAATACACTCGCTCCACCCTTTCTTTCGCAAGGAAAAGAAAAAAAAACTGATTCGAATTCAAAATAAAATAACTGCATTGAAAACAAATTTGATTCAATAAATTATCAGTTACACTCAGAAAAAAATTCGTTTGAAGCAACCAAATTTTGGTTAAATCAACAAAATAAATGCATTGATATACAGTTAACCAAACATTTGGTTGCATAAACCAAACGTTTATTTAGCTCAATCAAATTTTTTCTTTGTTCCAAAAATTTATTAAAATAAACCAAACAGTTATTTAGATCAAATAAATATTTATTTAAAATAAACAAATTTTGTTTGAACTAACCAAAAAATTGGGTAAATATAAAAAAATAGTACATTTGGTTCAAACATATCTTTTTTCTGAGTGTATTTGAATATTGTCAAATAATTATTTAATTTCTATTAAATAATATATATATAATTATTATTCGGAAAAATTTGTTTGGAACAATCAAATTTTGGTTAAATCATAACCATTGCTTTAAAGAAACGTTTGTCTATGATTCATTTAACCCTTTCATGGCCAGTGGGACACATACGTCCCACCTACTTCAAAAAATCATAACTTTCTTAAAACTTAATCGATTAACTCCACTAAGATCTCATTTTGAAGGAGAGGGATAGAGTAACAAATGTAAATACATGTATTTTTTTAAAAAACTACCCTCTTTGAAATACACCCCTTCAAAAAACCCGAAAAATGAGAAAAATGAAAAAACAGGTATAAATTTCAGAAGAAATTTTTTTTCAGGCTTTCATAGTAACATATGTTTAAAAATATTGCAACCTTTGTAAAAAAAATTAATATTAAAAATTCAACCCGAGGGTGCAGAAAAATAACTAAAACTACCCCTAAAAACCAAAACCTTTAAAAATTAATAAATTCGCTTGAAAATTGTTACTTGGGGGTTTTCGGGGTCGCTGATTACGAATCCGATGTCCGTTTTCAAAATTGCAAAATAATGCTGGTGTCATTATTGCCTATTAATTTTGTAGCTTTTAGTGCCTGTTGTTAGGAGTTTAGTATGAAAATGAAAATTACATACCCAGGCTCAATCGGTGAGGTAGTGGGAGAACGCTACACAGAGAAAACGAAACGACGCGCTGATTGCCTTATAACAGCAGTTCCACATGGAAGCTTCTTTGCTACTGTCGTACCCCCCCTTTCATTTACCCAATGCACTCCCCTCTACGCCATCGTGGAGGGGAGTGCATTGAGTATGTACTCAATGCATTTCTCAATATGATAATAATCAGTGAAAATTATTTTTTTGATTGTTGAAAACTGAATTCAGTATCTTATAACTTATGAATTAGGGGTGGATTTCAAGGGTAGGGGGTGAGTTTATTATTATTATCCATATCTGTGAAACATTGAAATACTTTTTTACAATTCAGAAGCACTTAGAATCCATATAATTTTTTTCATTTATTCACAAAAACATTTATCATTAAGGGGTGGTTATTTGACTTAAGGGTTGTTTTTCAGGGGTTGTTTATATTCAGTATTAATACTTAGTTATCATAGAAAATTTTTTTTTTCATATTTTCGAAAATCAGTGAAAATTATTTTTTTGATTGTTCCAAACTGAGAATAGTTATGAATTAGGGGTGGGCTTCAAGGGTAGGGGGTGAGTTTATTATTATTATTATTATTATTATTATTATCTATGTCTGTGTAACTTTCAAATAATTGTTTATAATTTAGAAGCAATTAGAATCTATAGATTTTTTTTAATCATTTACAAAAACTTTCACCGTCAAGGAATGATTATTTGACTTTAAGGGTGTTTTCAAGGGGTTATTGATCCTTTTCAATTTTTAAGCAACCAGGCAATGTTTATAAATAAATAAAAAGTAGATAAGAGCTGAAAAATATTTAATTCATCAATTTGGTTAAATATCAGTTTTTTGGGGTAGTAATGTACCGTGCGGGTGGTTTTAAGGGGTGAGACATGTTAAAAAAAAATTTTTTCTCATACTGAATACTTTAGTAATTAAATCTAATATACATTATAAGTCTAAAGTAACGACAAAAAACTCGGCCATTAAAGGGTTAAATTTTTTTAGTTGATAACTTTTATTTGAATGAACCAAATAATTTGTAGCATTTTTGGTTAAATTTTAATCTTAAGTGAAACAAAATGTTTCTTCCTTACAAGTATAAAAAGTTTGTTTGATTCAAATAAATTATTTTATCGATCGTATTGGTTTCATTTAAATACATTTTTTGGTTAAGATTAGTTTAGTTGAATCAACCAAACGTTTGTTTATACATCTATAGCAAATGGTTGATTCAATCAAAAAATTTGGTTGTTTCAAATAAATTTTTCTTTCAAGTGGAATTTAATTATATAAAGTATTCTAAAATAAGTCCCAAATGTATAATATTTTCTAAATTTGAAATTTGTTTTTTTTCTGAGGTGTGAGAGGAAACAATATATATTACAGGGAAGAAGAAGCAAATTAATTTCTTCTCTTTATGTAACCTCGCTTCATATTTAAGTGTCACATTTCTATTATCGCGGAGTCTCTTGTTTTGAAAAAGAATCATGTACTTATCACTCTAGTTTTGAATATATTTTTTATCGTTTATAAAAAAAAAAAAAAAGGCCGCGAGATGATGATAATAATATGATAATTAATTATGAAATGAAAAATGGAAAAGAGAATGAAATAAGAAAAAAGAAGTCTATAAAATTATTATACAATGACGTTTTAAAAGTCACGAATTAATTTGCGCGTCATAAAATACTTCAAACTTTTGTTTCTTTACACAATGAAAAAAAAATTTATTTGATTCAAATAATCGGTTATACTTAATTATTGTCAAATAAATATTTATTTGTATCAAATAATTATTATTTCAGATTTTGGTATTTTTTTCAAATACAGAAATTATTGGTTCAAATATTAATTTAAATAAAAATTATTTGGTTCAAGTATAAATATTTATTTGATACTATAGTCAAGTAATCAAATAAAAATTATTTTTCAGTACATAAAAATTAAATTTTATTTAATTTTTATTAAAATTATTATATAATATAAATTATATAATAATAATAATTATAATAATAATAATTATTATTATTATTATATATTATTATATTATATTATTATATAATTATTAAAAAGTTATTACATTTTTTTCTTATCACATTTTATATAAGAGTCAATTTATTCAAATGATTTTTGAATTTAGCGCCATTTTCTATATAGTTTTGCTTTACATGGTTGGTACTTGTATTTCTCAGTTCACAAATTTTCTAACCTAAAAAGAACAATTTTATTTCTAACATAGATTATTCTAAAAAATTTTAATTTTAAAAATAATAGTAGATAATAATAAATAAGTATAAAATGGTACTTTTATTACTAAATTACTATTATTATTATTATTATATAAATTATATGAAATATAATAATAATAAATTTAAATAAATAATAATAAATACAATATTTTATATAAAAAAATGATTCTCCCAAAGTACATGTGATATTATTATATATTATTAATTTTTAATTTTGAAACATATATTCTATATTATTTATATAAAAATTTATATATATATATATATATATATATATATATATATATATTGCTTTAAAATTACTATGGGAAATATTTCAAATACAATAAACCTCATTTCTCTGAATTTGAAATTTCCTATAATCCATTCGAATGGGAATGAAATTAGAATAATAATAATAAGAAATTAATAATATAGAATTAAAGGAAGAATTGAATTCGTTATTATTTTTTTTTTTTATATGATGTTTAATTTTAATTACAAATTAGAAAGTGGAAATTGTATTATATTCTTTAATTTTTTTTTTCTTTTTTTTTGCAGATCTTGAGCGATCTAGATTAGTAGAATTTATGGTTTTTTACAATTAGACATTATATTATTCATGGTGAGAAAAAAATGAGTTCATTTCACACGAAATTTAAAATATATTCTCTATCTCGCTTTTTTTTCCTCTCTTTCCCTGTTTCTGGAAAAAAAAATTGCGCGTTTATAAAGTTGTGTTGGAAATTCAAACCTACCACAAAAATGGCATTTGTATATATATATATATATAGATAATTATAATTCTCGTAATCATTCGATATTAGAGTCTGTGTATATAGTAGCAGATTTCCAGAAACTCGTAATCTTTTCCAAGCAATCGCAGAGAGTGTAGCGACTTTTGAATTCACAACACGAACAGGAAGTGCTTGTGATTATTGCTGACAAATAGATTCGCTCTATCGTTTAAAAAAGTATTTATACGCTTTGAAAATCTCAAACATTTATATATATATATGGGACGTTTCACGTTAAGCGGGCCACCCCGATGGCCAAAATTGAGAGCTTCCAAAAAAATCGCTTATACCCAAAAATTATTCATATATATAAGTACTTTCAAAAAATATGTGGCCTTTTGAAAAATCCAATATGGCGGCCCTAATATAACCTACAAATGTGTCTAAAATTAAAAAAAGAGGCCTAAAAGTGCTAATAAAAAGGGATTAAATGAGGAAATCACCTATGTATTGGCGGTAAAATTAGCACTAGGATACATACTTTGTATTCCGCAAGCAATACCGGTAATTTGATATTAATTTTCAGAAAATAAATATGGCGGATCCAATATGGTGGAAAAAAAATTTTAAAATGCATCGGATTTGCTTGAAAGTTGTTACTCGGGGGTTTTTGGGGTCGCTGATACCGAATCTATTGTTAATTTTCAGAAATTCAAAATGGCGGATCCAATATGGCGGACAAAAATTTTTTTAATTCATCAGATTTCGTTGAAAGTTGTTACTCGGGGGTTTTTGGGGTCGCTGATACCGAATCTATTGTTAATTTTCAGAAATTCAAAATGGCGGATCCAATATGGCGGACAAAAATTTTTTTAATTCATCAGATTTCGTTGAAAGTTGTTACTCGGGGGTTTTTGGGGTCGCTGATACTGAATCTATTGTTAATTTTCAGAAATTCAAAATGGCGGATCCAATATGGCGGACAAAAATTTTTTTAATTCATCAGATTTCGTTGAAAGTTGTTACTCGGGGGTTTTTGGGGTCGCTGATACTGAATCTATTGTTAATTTTCAGAAATTCAAAATGGCGGATCCAATATGGCGGACAAAAATTTTTTTAATTCATCAGATTTCGTTGAAAGTTGTTACTCGGGGGTTCTTGGGGTCGCTGATACCGAATCTGATGTGAATTTTCAGAAATTCAAAATGGAAGATCCTATATAGCAGACAAAAAATTTTTTTAATTCATCAGATTTCGTTGAAAGTTGTTACATCTAGCAGACAACAGCGTAAATTAAACAAATGGCGCGCGCAATTTAAACTACATTCGAAACACAAACTTAATGTCAAGATTTAAATAATAATAATAATAATACATAATAATTGTTGTGGATAAAAATTTCTTTATTTGTTTCCTTTACTTTTTAATACTTTATTTAAATAATTTTTAAGATGTTTTCATATAACGAGTATGAAAATTTAAAACATGTAAACAAATATTGAAATTAACTTAGGCTAAAAAAGAGTCTAATAATATTCATTAAACCAAATATTAGGCAAAATAAATTCACGAAAATTCTTTATTTTTTACATAAATTAATTTTTCAAGGCGCGCCGTAAAAAATTAATAAATATCAATAATAACTTAATTAGATAATTATTAAACCAATTGAGGATGAAGTAATTGATGTTTTTTAATTTTTGCTTCCTCATGGAGAAAGTATCTTTATTTTCTACACGGGGCAAACTAAGAAAAAATATTTTTTTAACGCACCATATAAAACTTTCTAAAAACCAAAAACCAATATTAGATACTTTATCAACGACCCCATAAACCCCCTAGTAACAACTTTCAACCGAATCATTTGATTAAAAAAATTTTTTGTCTGCTATATAGGATCTTCCATTTTGAATTTCTGAAAATCCACATCAGATTCGGTATCAGCGACCCCAAGAACCCCCGAGTAACAACTTTCAACGAAATCTGATGAATTAAAAAAATTTTGTCCGCCATATTGGATCCAACATTTTGAATTTCTGAAAATTAACAATAGATTCGGTATCAGCGACCCCAAAAACCCCCGAGTAACAACTTTCAAGCAAATCCGATGCATTTTAAAATTTTTTTTCCACCATATTGGATCCGCCATATTTATTTTCTGAAAATTAATATCAAATTACCGGTATTGCTTGCGGAATACAAAGTATGTATCCTAGTGCTAATTTTACCGCCAATACATAGGTGATTTCCTCATTTAATCCCTTTTTATTAGCACTTTTAGGCCTCTTTTTTAATTTTAGACACATTTGTAGGTTATATTAGGGCCGCCATATTGGATTTTTCAAAAGGCCACATATTTTTTGAAAGTACTTATATATATGAATAATTTTTGGGTATAAGCGATTTTTTTGGAAGCTCTCAATTTTGGCCATCGGGGTGGCCCGCTTAACGTGAAACGTCCCATATATATATATATATATATATATAAATCTAGATTTTTCATGAGATCAATTTTCGAATTTTTTTCAGATATGAAACAATAAAAAAAAAGTAAAAATGCCCAAAGTTAAAAAACTTAATTTGTTTATAAAAAAAATCGTTATTTTTATATAAAAATTGAAAATTTTTTTCTTCGTTAAAAGAATAATAATTGAAAATGTCATAAGTCATGTGGAATCACCCTTATATAATATATTTTACTTATGGAGCATTCCATGTGAGATTTTAATTCAAAAACAAATTTTTTTTGCCTGAAATATTTTCTTTTCGAAATTCTTATGAAAAATAAGAAAAAACGTAATTTTTATTTTCATATTTGATAAAAATTATGAAAATTAGGATTTAAAAAAATTACAACTTTCACAATTTTGTCAAATAAAAAAATACCTATTTTCTTTTTTTTCATAAAAATTTCGAAAAAAAAATATTCCAGTTAAGAAAAAAATTGTTGAAATAAAAATTTCAATGCCATTTATATTTGCAATATAAAATTAAACAAAAAAATTGATGGTTAATTTTCATTTTTTAAAATTAAGTAATAAACATATACCAATAATAGAAACAAAATAAAATCTATTGCACTTGAAATATGTTTTAAAGTTTAAGATATATATATATATATATATATATTTTGTTGTATATATATATATATATATACAACAAAATATATAGAAGTAAAAATGAAAGTCAACAGATAATTGAGCGTAATATTTCTGATGTATATACATATATATAATAAACTGCGTAAATAAATCGGTGAGATCTTTTTTTTTCTTTTCTTTTCTTTTTACAAAGTCACCAATTAAACAATTAATCGTTGAAGTTGAGTAACCGAATCATACATGTTAATGTGGAATATTATGAATAAGTGTGTATATATGATCTAGAATCGCGTGTGCTATATACAAAGTCTGTTGCAATATCTTTAAGATAAAGTCACGCAACTTCGTTTAAAAAGTAAATGTCTACACATTGTTTACATGTGTACAATTTATATTGTACATATATATGTATTTATACAAAAAAAAAACGAATGCAAATACAAATATTATTTAATATACACAATTTGACAAATATTTTTCTTTTTCACTACTTAATATTTGTTCGTCAACAACTTTTTTAATTGAATTCATAATATCTTTTTTAATTGAATTAATAATAAAAATAATAATAATAAACCAAAAATAACAATAATAATAGTAATAATATTAATAATATTAATATATAATAATATATAATATATAATATATTATTATATAATTTGTATGATTATTTGTGGCTTTAGGACACTCAACTATTTAATTATATAATTAATATAATATTAATATCATAATATACTTATAATATAATAGTAATAATAATAATAATAATAATAAGAATAAATAACTTAAATATTAATAATGATAATAATAATCCCCCCCAATTTTTGTTATACTTATATCTTTCGATACGTTTATCGATTTTGATTTATTATCTTATACCTAGAAAATTCTGATATATCTAACCATCATTTTGAGGTTATGATTGTCCTTTCACCTATATGACCTTGGAATTTGGAGGTTATGTTTGTCTCGACTAATCTAAATTAACCCTACTTGACCTTATATTTTACAAAGAAAAAAAAATTTTTTTCTGTTTTTGCTGTAATTATGCCAATATATTCAGGAATTCATAACCTAAAAATAATTTTACCTTTTTTTCTTATTATATTTTAGTTAAATAAACGGTTTGTTGTTATGCCTAAAAAACTTAAAGATTATGTAACTTTTATTCAAAGTCATTTTTAACTTGACCCAATATAAACGTTGCTATATATATATATATTCTAACCTTAAACTTGAACAAATGTCAGTAGCTTAATCTATACATAACCTTGACATTTGACTTAACCTTAAAATTTTGATACATATAAATATATTACACAAACGGAACTTATTAGAATTTCTTTAACATCGAATTTCTGTGTATATAATATATGTAATTAATTATAATAATCTATAATAATTATAATACTATTTATAATAATAGTTGTAAGATTATAATATTATATAGTATATGTAATTAGTACTATTCCTTTTTTAAATTACCTTTAAATTCGACTGTAGTACCTTTTACTATAATATTTGTTAAAAAAAAATATAAGAAACTTAATTTTAGAAATAAATATATATATAGTATATTTTCCGTGAGAGGAAATTGAATAAATTTTAATTCGAGTGTCGTTTTGAAAATTAAAAGTGGACATTAAATTCCATCTGTACAAGAACATATACACATATCAGACTGCGCGTTTCGTTGGATGTCGAGGTCATTCCAAGAAGTCTGTCTGTGAATCTCTCATATGGATATATTGCAACTTCATAGTACATATATATATATATTATAGTGAAAGATTCGACGATTATCACATTCAATTACATT